TTATTTGCTAGTTTTGATTATGTAATGCACACTCCTGGTTGGACTAGTAAACTGGGTTGGCTGCATTACTTACCAAGTTATTTGCTAGTTTTGATTATGTAATGCACACTCCTGGTTGGACTGGTAAACTGGGTTGGCTTGGTAAGTAATGCAGCCAACCCAGTATACCGGTCCAACCAGGAGTGTGCATTACATAATCAAAACTAGCAAATAACTTGGTAAGTAATGCATTACTTGCTAGTTTTGATTATGTAAGTAGCTTGCTTTAATCAGAATTAATAAATAATACATGGTCAAAAAGCTGTTCACAAAGGCTTTTTAAAAACCTTTATTATTACAATCTGACAAGAGAATTTAAATGTACACTTTGAACTGGTGATTACAAAAAAAACAGATGAATTGACTACATGTTACATCAGTCACCAAGTAATCAATTTGTACAAAAAAAATTAAACATTTTGTAAAGTTTTGTTTATTACATTATATCCTACACTTGAATTATGCAAGTCTCTAATTATAAGGTTTGTTAAAAGTACTTATGACGTATATATATATGCCAGACACAGTACAAATTTCAAAAGAAAATTATAATCCTCAGTAGTCCTTAGTTAACATGGGTTATAAACAAAATTAAAGAGTACTTTAATAACAATGGGTGTATACCCCACTGGTATTTTCTATCCAACTAGCTGCAATAAAACTACATGAAAGATATTAATGCACTGAAAAAAACAACATTTTATTGAAATATGATTTAATTTTGTTTAAGTATATTTATAGCTTGGGCAAATAAATGATGCTTAAATTAAAAACTATTTGTACAGGCGTACATATAGAAACCAGATGTACCTGAATCTGCATCCGAGCTGGAATAAAAAGCTTCTTTTTCATGTAAGATAAGTTAAGGTTTTGTCTGTATCTTTTAATCAACTGTATTTCACACATTACTTTAATGATGATAATGGGATAGTACCTAGATTCCCATTTTAACAGCATTAGAAAAATAAGACATACTAAATAGAAAGGTGTTTACATCAAGTTTGAAAGGTTAGAAATGTAATTTATTTTCTTTTATTTCGATAGGTAAATTTTTATATTTTTTAAAATTTCACTCCAACTTTCTGGTTGGTAACTCTCATTGATCATTGGTTAATTTTGTTCACTATATATTCAATATTTTATGTAATGAATTTGTTACAATCTCACCAGAACAGTGTTGATTTGTCAACACTGTCATTATGCCTATCTTTATTTGTATATATTTCAGTCTTTAATCAATCTACCCAAAGTTTAAAAATAAGACTTAAGCTCTATGTCAAGTCACAATCGAAAAGTTTAAACAACAACAAAAAAGGATATCCTTTCCTTCACTGTGAGGTCTTATAGTAAATCCCTCATCATCTACTTCCACAGTAAGCTACAAAAATAAATAATTTTGTAACAAATATAAATACAAGCTTTGCTTAAGTAATCCTAAATGGTCAAAAATTACTTTACATAATATAACTACAACTAATCATGCATCATAAATAAGCTTGGATTATTGATAGATAGTAAAACAATAATAGGGCTAAACATGCTTGTAGGTCAAAGAAAG